AAACTATGATTCCAGATCTACTTGCTAACTTCTAATGGCTGGAACAGTTTCCATCTAGACTGTATGTCACTTAGGGAAGGGACTGTATGCATCTGTGTCACTTCCAACACTTAGTATAGTGGCTGGCACAAGGTAAATGTGTTAATAATCCTTTGTTGGAATGAAACAATATGCCTCTTCCAGGCACTGAAGCCTGTGGTTTGCAGTGAGTCCCAAACCTTGTCTTCACGGAGGTCAACTGTTTAGATGGAAAAGAGAGGCCAGTGATTCCAGTTTCAGCTGGGGTGGTGTGTACAACCAGAGAAGTACCCACAGGTGCTCAGGGCATGAAGGGAGAGGGGCTTCCTGGCATGGGCGACCCAGAGCTAAACACGAAAGACAGGTAGGAGAAGCGACTGTCCTCCGTCTCATTTGCACCCGCTGGGCTTTTCAACACAATTTTGTGCTGCACATGTAACTCTCCCTTCTCATCCACTCTTCCTCACTAATCCATTTAGTAAGCTTAGAGAGCAATAATCTTAACCTAAAAAACAAGAATCTAGTTTAAGAAGCAAAGCAGTTATTTGGGATCAACAAATTGCAATGCAGGGTACACAGATTTAGGTAGAAACCCAAACAGTGTCCCAGTTACAGGAGCGGAGCTCAGGGTTTTCGCGGGAAAAAGAGGAAGACAAGGTAAGTTTTTGTAAGAGTTCCCTGGCACGAATGAGGTAAAGCTAGATTTGTACATCATTGGCTGGTCAGGTGAAGGGGTCAGTTTTATCAGGCCTTTCAACAGGCTGTTCTTGTTTCTTGGCTGACTTGCTGGAATGCTGGCAGTTTGGTCCAGCTCAGAGGTACAGAGAACAGGACATGCGAGGCAGTTCCTCGGGAATGGATGCTCCAGCTCCACTTTAAATGGCTCTACTCATGTCATCTGTTATAGTGTAAATGCTCCCCAGCTTGGGAAAAACGTGTGTAGAAAGTAATTTATAGTCGCGTGATCATTGCAACATCTTGGGATCCCAAATGTCCTTTCAATCGGCAACGGTTAAACATAATGACAGATTCATTAACTAATTCACTTCGTCATTTCACCAGCTAACACTGACAAGCATCCGCCGTACGTCAGACCAGGTTCTAAGCGCTAAAGATACAACATGGAACAAAACAGACGTTCCCTGTCGGCAGGCAGCTCACACTGTCTGCCTTTTACTCACTGGTAGGTGTTGTCTTTTTACATCCTAAATGGAATCTGATTTTTGAATGTCTTTCAAATCAAGGCCAAATGGGAAAAAAAAAACAAAACAAGTGAAGTGTCAAACTGATTTCCACTTTACACTTGAAAGTTCCACTTAATCCGCATTTCCATTTATGTCAACATATAATTTTAATAATTACACCAAATACAGCCATTCGTCAGTATCTTTTGGAGGTCAATAACCTTTCAATTACTGTTAGGGCTAAAGACTTAATAAAGATTTAAGACATTTTACCTAGTGTTTTTGTGGGGAGTGAATCTTCAAATTGTAGACTCAACTGGAGGTTAATTTATAGTTGAGTTAACAGCATAAAGTCAAAGCGTTAATTTTAAAATTTTCTTTGTAATTTTAACCTGCAATTTAGCAAGGGGTTTCTGTAAGTATGGAAAGATACAAGGAAGAAAGAACGACTGAAGGAGCTATCCTTAGAGGCCGCAAGTGGCAGGCTTTTCTTCTGAAAGTGAAATTTAGTCCCCAAATGAACATTTCCCAAAAGAAAATTTAGTCTTGCTGCCAAAGGTGAAGACACTGCAGTAGCAGACATACAGTTCAAAGAAGCACAGAAAGGGACAGAGGTTAAACACACCATACGGAAGTACCTGCTCAAATTACTGTCGATTTAAACTTTGGCTACCGCTTCCTGAATAAATGCCTCTTTTTGTTTATGCAATGCCTAACTGTTATTGTGGCTAATATTCTGCACCAGGGCTTCTCAACCTCAGGACTATGGACATTTGGGGCTGGATAATTCTTTGCTATGGGGGCTGAACTGTGCGTTGCAGAAGCTTTAGAAGCCCTGGCCTCTACCCACTGGATGCCAGTAGCACCCCCACCACTCTCTCACCCCATCCTTCCACTGTGACAACCCAGACATTGCCAAATGCCCTCTGGGGGAGGAGGACAAGATGGTTGAGAAACATTGTTCTGGACAAAGACTTTGACTGTCGTCTACTTGATCTTTGCAATTGCATGTCCTACTGATATGCAGAAGATAAGGAGTTGGACAGGTGCATAAGGAGAAATGGCTAAAAATGTAAGGGAAAGCCAAAATACAGCCCTTTTTCTGCCTGCTGAGTCATGGGCCCTGATATGGGCCTCTATCCTGGAGGAAGAGACCTCTTTAGAACTCACACACAGGCGCCTTGTGGGTTATCTTTCATTAGCAAAATTAAAGTGACAGGAAGACTAGAAGGTCAGGTGCTAAACTCATCTAGTCCAAATTCTTCCATCTTACAGACTGGAAAACTGAGGGCCAGGGAATTCTCGGAGGATAACTTTGAAGAATGTATTCAGCCTCTAATTCGGACAGAAAATTTGCGAAGAGAAGAGAGAATTTAATTCTGCTTTGGGAGCTTGACCGTCGAACAGGGAAAAAATCTAATATACGGTTTGGAGAAGGGCCTTCGCGTGGGTCAGGCAGGAGGCACAAGCCGCCTGACAGGCAGGTACAAGGCAAAGAAGAGATAAGCCTTCGTACGAACGGCGGTGGAGGCAGGGGGAATGGAGCGCGCTTGGCCACACAGACGACGTCCCTAGAGAAAAGCGTCCTGACGCTCCCTGCTGAGCTGGGACCAGTTCAGAACCAAGGCCAGGCTCTGATTCATCTTCGTGGTCTTTGGGCTCATTCCTGGTTCATACTGGCACGGAGCAGAAGCGCAACAGAGTACCACCCCGGGCAAAGAACTGCTGACCCCGGAGACCACTGAGACAGCAACAGGAAGCCCTTCTCGTGGAGAGGGCAGGCGGTCCAGCAGGAGAGGGAGTGCTCCAAGAAGTGACTGCTTCAGTCCCTCTGACCCTCGGAGAGGTTTCCTCCCTCTGTGAGGCGGCATGGCTAATCATGCCACGCTCCCTCCTCTGGGTGCCCCACCCACCAAAGGTGATATGACAAGTTGTATTTTCTGTCTGCCCTGGTGAGCCTGGCGGCACCCACCTGCCCCTGGACCCACCAGCTGGAACACAACCTCCCCAGGACAAGCAGGACTCTGGGCCTCTGAGCCCACAGACCTCCTGGAACCTCAGCACATGGGCATCTGGCCCCAGCACATGCTGGTCCCTCTGCTCATGCAGCTCAACTTAACCTTGGCCAAGGGCTCAGCTCCTCTTACATCCCCAGTGAGAACCCTGGCCAAACGCATGGCAGGTTTAACAGAAGCTGCAGGGAACAGCACACAGACTCAGAAACTGCCATCAACGCACTTCTCCTCCCAGAGCTTTTGGCTGCAACCCCCATGGAGGGTCTCCTTTCTCCTGCCCAGGGAACACCCGGTTACACTGCTTTCTGTCTTTCCTGTTCCCCAGCGGTGATATTCAAATATCAAAAAGCAATTCCAATGCACCAACTAGTCAGCTCAGGTGCCTGGAGGCCCCCTGCTGGGTCAGGCGTCCCCACGGTGTCAGTTCCCTTCAACTCCCTATGGTTGGATTCCATGGAGGTCTTGGGGACTGTCCCCCCTGGCACAGGAGTATTTCAGGGTTTTAACCCTGGTAGGGCCTTAGCAGTGGCTACCAGTCCCAGATCTCTCCCTCCTAGGAGAGCAAGTTGGCTCTGCCCGACTCCTGCAAACTCAGAGGCTTGTGCAGTTTTCAGCAGGTCCCCTAAGGGCACTTCAAGCTGTAGACATACACACTCCTTCGGAGGTGATGGGGTCTAGAGGTAATCCCACCACAATTTCTCCCTGCAGCTTTCCTTTCCACGGAGCACCTGCTGTGGCACTTTTTCAGGAAGAGCTTTACAGTACAGCCCAGGCTGCTAACTCCTCTCTTCTGCTGCCAAAATTACAGATGTTTCTGTGGGATCTGACTCTGTAACAATCCATAAGGCACCAACTACAGCTCTAATTAAATTGTAAAAAAAATCAATCCCGCCACCAGCATGCAGCTGGGGAGGGATTCATCTCCTGTGACGTCCCCAGTGGGCCATAACCCTCCTCTCACTGCCATGGCATGTGGCAGAGGACACTGTGTCAGCAGCACGGAGCCCAGAGTGCACCCCTGCCTGGCTGTTATTTCCATGGCACAGGTTTGGGAATTAGTCATCAGAGCTGCAGTGCCAATGACATGAAAAAATAGTCCACAGGGTAAGTGTTGTCAGGATGAAAGATGCTAAGGCTGGAGCTCAGAGAACTCGGCAGTGAGGGTGTTAAGATTTGGTGCCAAGAAGGCACTGGCCAGCGTTGGGTTGCGGTTGGGCAGAGGGGGTGGGAGACCTGGAACCAGGAGAAGGACGGAAGGAAGTGATCCAGGCTAAAATGGAGACAGAACCCCCAACCCTTCAGACCAGGATTTTCATTGGTGTGGAGATTGCCAACCAGACTAATTAATTAAATCTGCTGGACATTTAAAATTTGCTACGTATCTGCTTAAGTTGTATGTGTGTGTGTATAATTCTACAATGTAAATTTTATTTTCAATGACTCCATCTGTTATCCTCATAAAATTCTGGAATTAAAAGGAATCTCTTTGGATATCGTTAAGATGAAGCGATAAACTGAATCTTCATTTGGCCCAAGTGCTGGGCAACCTGCACTGGAAAGATCTGGTGACCACGTGCCTCATGCCCTCTTTCTCTTTTATGTAGGTTCAAGGATGCTCCATCCCCCAATGCCCCCAAGGATATGTCCACCTGGAACCTATGATGTGTCCTTATTTGGGAGAAGAGTCTTTTAGAAGTAATTAAGTTAAGGACCTTTTGATGAGATCATCCTGGATTAGGAAGGATGCTAAATCCAACGACAAGTACCTTTAAAAGAGATGAGAGTGCTCACTTCAGCAGCACATGTACTAAAACTAGAACGATACAGAGAAGATCAGCATGGCCCTGGGGCAAGGATGACATGCAAATTCATGAAGCGTTCTATGTTTTTCAATATCACTAATTATCAGGGAAATGCAAATCAAAACTACAATGAGGTACCACCTCACACCAGTCAGAATGGCCATCATTCAAAAGTCCACAGACAACAAATGCTGGAGAAGGTGTGGAGAAAAGGGAACCCTCCCACACTGTTGGTGGGAATGTAGTTTAGTGCAGCCATTATGGAAAACAGTATGGAGATTCCCTAAAAAACTAAAAATAGACCTACCCTATGATCCAGCAATCCCACTCCTGGGTATATATCCAGAGGGAACTCTAATTCGAAAAGATACATGCACTCCCAATGTCCATAGCAGCATTATTTACAGTAGCCAAGACATGGAAACAACCTAAATGTCCATTGACAGATGACTGGATAAAGAAGTAGTGGTGTATTTATAAACGGAATACGACTCAGCCATAAAAAGAATGAAATGATGTCATCTGCAGCAACATGGATGGACCTGGAGATTGTCGTTTTAAGTGAAGTAAGCCAGAAAGGGAAAGAAAAATACCGTATAATATCACTTATATGTGGAATCTAAGAAAACAAAAGACCCAAATGAGCTTATTTATAAAACAGAAACAGACTCACAGACATAGAAAACAAACTTAGAGTTATGGGCAGGGGAAGCATGTGGGAAGGAATAAACTGGGAGAGCAAGATTTGCAGATACTAACTACTGTATATAAAACATAAATAACAAGTTCATACTGTACAGCACAGGGAACTACATTCAATATCTTGTAGTACCCCCTAATGAAAAAGAATATGAAAATAAATATGTATACATGTGACTGAAACATCATGCTGTACACCAGAAACTGACACAACAGTGTAACTGACTATACTTCAATTTAAAAACACAGAAGTGGACTGAAAAAAAAAATGAGAAAGGGAGAAAAAACACAGAGAAGAAAACGATTAGAAGACAGAGGCAGACATTGAAGCTATGGGTCTACAAGCCAAGGACTGGACCTGAAGGGATTGCCAGCAGCCACCAGAAGGTAGATGAGAGGCATGGGGTGAATTCTCCCCCAGAACCAACACTGCCAGCAACTGGATTTCAGACTTCTGGCCTGCAGACCAACCGTGAGAAAATAAATGTCTGTTGTTTTAAGCCACCCAGTTTATGGAACTTTGTTATGGCAACCATAAGAAACTAATCTGCATGGTCATTAGTGACATGGTGACATGGGGAGTGGCATCTAATGCTAGTTTTAGAGCCACAGTAACCTGGATTTGGATTTGAATTGTGCTTCTGCCATTTTCTGCATATATGACTTTAGACAGATGATTTCTCAACGTTTCCTTCTGTGCAATGGGATAGTAAATAATATTAGCCTTACAAAGTTATAAAAATGAAACGAGATGTAGCCACAGAGCACCTGGCACACAGGAAGTACTGGATAAGTTTAGGTTATTATCATGACCTATTATTAGAAGTTGATTGGACACTCACGTTAATGACAAGTTAGAAGGAAGACAGGAAAGGACAGAAATTACTTTTGAAGTAGGCTTTCCAGCAAGAGATAGTGGCTCATCTTCTGGGAAGAAGAAGGGATAGAGGACATTTGGGAGAAAAACTAAAGAAGAGAATGCATTGGCTGTATTTGAAGCGAAGAGAGGGGAAGAGAGGGCAGAGGAGTAGGCTAGGAAAGACACAGGGGGAGGACTGGTTTTAAAATAAAACAACACTTGCTATTTTGGAAGATGAATGGAGAGTGTTGCTCCGTGTTTAGGAGGAGGATGGAAATGGAGAAACTATTCTTTTAGAGAGCAGAGGGAGAGAGGCTGTAATTATGAAGGGGGTGTATACATCCTGCATGCTGGGCGATTAAATAAACATGCTTTATGGAGAAAATGAGTAGGAGAGGCCCAAGGAAGGGTGAATTTCCTAATCAGGATGCCACCAGATAACAGAATTGGGCTGGGAGTGATCAAAAGTCAGAGAGGGATTTCCAGGCAACTGCCCAGAAGGAGGGAGGGAGAACTGCCTTGGAATTGTGTTGGGCAGAAGTTTAGAACATCCCCAAAAAGGATACAGAATACGTTCATCAGGTCTTATCATGATTGAGTTAGTCCTGGAGGTGTATTTTTGATAGCAGAGAAGGTGGAGTGTGTTCTGGAAGGAAAGAACAGGTTGGGAAAAGATAAGTGAGTGAATCAAAAGTGAAAGGGGTTCAGGAGGAGGGCACAGGTGTGCAGGGTGTGCACAGAGGAGTAGCAGGAGAGAGAGAGAGGCACCATCACTTCTGAGCAAGGGGGTTAAATCAGCAGTGCTCAGGAAGGTCAAATAGGCAGCTCTGTGTAGAAAGAATGGGAGGAGGAGGAGCCCTCATAGTGATTTACTAAAAAGTTTCAATTAGTGCCAATATTTAAGAATCAAGAAGTTTTACCTAAAAGCCAGATGACTGGCATCAGGAGAAATCAGAACGTCTGGCAATGCTGGGCCCGTATTGCGGTGCAGACTAAGGAAGTTTGAGGCAAGAAGCTGCTGATGCTTTGGAAGGCTCATGTCTCTTGGCCATGGCCCCACCTTACCCACCACTTCAGCCATTTACATGACCTGCTTCGGCCCCACTGGCCAGACCCAGCAAATGTAGATGGCACGGAGGGGCAATGTAGTATGTCCCTAACCTCTCTTTGCAGGCCCTAGCGCTGAAATGCGTCTCTGACTGAAGCAGTGGATTGATAGTGTTATTCAAATCTTCTTTATCCTTAACTTAACTTATCCTTAACTTTTCGTTTTGTCTAGTGGTTCTATGAGTTGTTGAGAAAGGAATGCTAATCTCCAACTACAGTTTGGACCTGTCCTTTTCTCCATTCAGTTCTGTGAAGTCTTGCTCAATGGATTTTTTGAAATTTTGTTTTTAGGTGCATACACATTTAAGATTGATACATCTTCCTAAGAAGTCAACTTTCTCATCATTAGTCTGTTTAATACAGACACTCCAGCTTTCTTGTAACTATCATTTGCAATATATGTATTTTTACCCTTTACTTTTAACCTATCTGCCTTTATATTTAAAGAAAATTTCTTGTAGACAGCATACAATTGAGTCTTACTTTTTTAATCCACTGTGACAATCACTGTTTTTTAACTGCAGTGTTTCAAACATTTACATTTAATGTAAGTATAGGTAAATTTGGGTTTAAGGCGCCATCTTTCTTTTGTTTTCTACTTGTCCAATATGGTGCTTGCTGTTTGTTTCTGGGTTTCCTGCCTACTCTTCTATTAATTGAGCATTTTTAGCATTCAATTTTATCTCTTCTATTGGCTTATCAGGTATATCTCTTTTTTAAGTTGTTGCTTTAGGATTTAAAATATGTATCTTTAACTCAACACAGGCTACCCAAACAGCATTAAACCACTTCAGTCACAACCTAAGAACTCTGTACTTCCATCCCTCTCACCCCTGATTGTTATATGTGCTGTTGTGTCATATTTTTCCCCTGCATATGTTATAAAATTAATAATATATAATAGTTTGGTTTAAAAAAGATAACTTAAAGTGGGTCACAGATTTCAATGTCAAAACCAAACCCAAAAAAACTTCTAGGAGAAAACCTGAGAGAAAATTGTTGCCACCTTGGAGAAGGTAAAGATTTCTCAGAATACAAAATACGCCTATCATAAGGACTAAAACTGATAAATTCACTTTATTAAAATAAAAAAACATTTATTCTTTGATAGACACTGTTAAGAAAATGAAAAGGCAAACCACAGACTGGAAGAGATGATTTGCAATACATATATACAAAAAAAGACACAAGACCAAAATATATAAAGAACTCCCAAAACTCTAGAAGATAAATGGCACAATTAAAAATCAGCAAAATATTGAGAGCGCAAACACATTTCACACATACAAAGCTACACACACACACATACACAAACATACAAGAATGGCCAATCAGTAAACAGGGAAATGTGCAGTATCAGTCATGATACTGAAGTACAAACTAATGCCACAATGACATACAAATATGACCACTAGAATGGCTCAGATTTTAAAGACTGGCAATCCCACATGTTGCTGAGGACTTAAAGCAACTAGATTTCACACACATCAGCAGTACAAGAGCAAAATAGTGCAATTTAGAAAACAAATCCAAAGGGATTTTTTAAAAAGTCAAACATACACATATCCTGTGACCCAACAATTCTACTCAATAAACAACCCAAATGTCAGCGAACAGGTGAAGGGGTAAATACATTGTGAGACAGTCATACCATGGAACACAGTCCACCATAAAAAGTAACAGCATTAAAGGAACTGATGACAATCACAGCAACACAGATGTTCCTCACAAAAGAATGCATTTATTAGATTCCGTTTATACCAAGTTCTGAAACTGGCAAGACTAACTATGGTGCTAGAAATTGAATTAAGGGTTTTGCCTGCAGGACAGGGATGGCTTCTGAAGAGGCACAAGGAACTTTCTGAATGATGAAAATGTTCTGTGTCTTTACTGGGGCATTTAGACAGATGCATACATTTGCCTAAGCTCATTGAACTGTATGCTCCAGAACTGTTCATTTTATCAGTGTAAATTAAACCTCAGAAAAGTTGGTTTAATAAATGCCCCTTCCATCAGAACAGCCTACAGCAAAGATATAGTTGCCAAAGAAAAGACAGATGTAAATGTGTCACACTCGAACAGCAGACAGCAGGACAGGGGCTTACTCATCCCCTTCCAGCAAAAGACTAGCATCCTGCAGGGCATCTTAGAACAGGGCATCTTAGAAGCACATCTTAGAACATAGAAATGACATGATAAAAGCATGGTCACTTAGAAGATGTGCTTTGAGCAACAGAGTAACTGCACAGACAACGTTCTGTGGCCGTAAGGAAGGAAGAGGATATTTCTACACCGGGAGTGCAGATGGGTCATGATGGTCTAGGGCATAATAGAAGTTCCACTTCTGGGGAAAAGAGTCAAGAAGATGCAAGCTAATTTTTGTTATTATTGGTGGTGGTGGTGGTGGGGTGTGTGTTTGTGTG